CTTTTATAAAATGAATGAAACTTGGAAATGAAAAAAAGTCTGTGCCGGGGGAAACAAGTTGTTACATAGTTGCCTATAAAATACACAAAGCAGCAAAGAATAGGGTTTAGTTACATAGATTTAAGGAAGCTAAATCACAACAAATAACTATATTCCATTGGGCATCTCAGAGATTAGGCATGAAAAGGCAGTAACACACTTGATAAAAGAAATCCAAATGGCTAGTTTATATATGAAAAGGTCCTCGACAGCACCAGTAATTGGGGGATGCATGTTAAAACCACAATGACATACGCCCTAGCTGGTGTGGCTCAGTGGTTAGTGTTCAATTCCTCATCAAGGGTCCGTAGCTGGGTTGCAGGTTCCATCCTGGCCCCAGTTGGGGCACATATGGGAGGCAACCAATTGATGTGTCTCTCTCACATTGATGTTTCTCTCTCTTCCCCCTCCCTCCCCCTCTCTCTAAAAATCAATAAAATAAAAGCACAGTAGCATAGTACAACACACGCACCAGACGGGCAGAACTGAAAAGAACTACCAATACCCAGTGTGGCTGAGGATGTGCAGCAATGGGGCTCAAACATGGCTGGTGTGATTACAACACTTTAGAAACAGCTTGACATTATTTATTCAAGTTTATGACACACATATCCACTTCCAGGTATATACCATACAGAAACTGATATAGACAGGATGGAATACATATGAAGAATATTCACAGCAGCATTTTTAACAGCTCCAAACTAGAAACAAGCCAGATACCCATCAACAAAAGAATCACTAATTATGGCATATGCTACAATGGAACACTGTAATATTCAGCAATTAAAATGAACAAATTAAAGCTAGTATATAAACAACCCAAACAACATATGGATTAAAAACAATGTTGAGCTACAGTGGTAAATATAATAGATTATGTATTATAATTGTTTCATTTAATGAAGTTCAAAAGAAAGGGCAAAACCAAACAATATATTGTTTAGGGATACATACTTGTGATAAAACAACTGAGAAAAGCAAGGAAATAATTATCACAAAAGATAGAATAATGTTACCTCTAAAAAAGAGTGAAAGAGTTGTGTTCAGGAAGGTCAGCAGGGGGAATTTTGGGGTGCTGGCAATGTTCCATTTCTTGACCTGGTTGGTCACATGGAAGTTTCTTTTATAATTACTCATTATACTGAATAACTGCTTTATGCATTTCAATGTATTTTTCACAATAAAAATTCTAAAAGTAATTGAATACTGTAAAATGGTATTTGTAGAAAGAAATTTTGCCAGATAATTTAGCTTATAAAATCTTTAATAGTAAAAAACCCCTGATGTGGGATAATAAAACACTGATTAGTTTCCCATAAGTGCTCACTTTCAAGTGTAGGAGAATAGAGCCCTATACAAATATCCCTTTGTTATATTTTAACATGCAGATCTCTATCAGAAAAAAATTGACAAACCAGGGAAAAAACTGTTACCTAAAACTTCAAAGATTTTTGAATTTTGAATGAACTGTTTTCTCCAGTGGATAAAAAAAGAAAAAAAAAGAAAAAAAGAAACAACTAAAAAGTTGCAGGCCAAGTTGGACATGTATGAACTTCCTCTTCTCCAGTCGCCAGTTCCAGCTGTTTCCTCCAGTTATCATGCTGGGTGGTGAGGTGGGTGGATCTTGCCCAGTAAGTTTAGTGCAGCTGTTACTTCTTATTTAGGTGGTGGAGCACTCTCTGGGGTGCCATTCTGTCTTCAGCATTAAGGTTTTAAGGTGGAGCCACAGATAAGGCTGCTGAAAAAGTCTGTCTGGTACACACTTTCCTTGAGGCATCCTTTGTTGGGTTGCACTCTTTTTATTCAAAACCCAAAGAACTGCCCTGGCCAGTGTGGTTCAGTTGGTTGGAGCGTCCTCTGTCCGGTACGCCAGAAGGTGGCGGGTTTGATTCCCAGGAGGGCACATAAGTAAGTTTCTGGTTCAGTCATGGCAACGGATTGATGTTTCTCTCTAAAATTAATGAAAAAAAAAATTACGCCCGGCCGGGCGTGGCTCAGCGGTTGAGTGTCGACCTAGGATCCAGGCGATCGTGGTTCGATTCCTGGTCAGGGCACATGCCTGGGTTGCGGGCTCGATCAATGACTTTCTCATCATTGATGTTTCTATCTCTCTCTCCCTCTCTTTTCCTCTCTCTGAAATCAATAAAGATATATTTAAAAAAAAATAAAAATAAATAAAATGAAAAAAATTAAATATTATAAAATCCCCACAGAACTTAAAATCTAAGGTTCTCAGTTTCACAAAATCCCCTAAATCTGTGTACTTTACTCCTTCAACTTCTTTTAGGAAATCAGGAAGACAGGCAAAACCTAAAAAGATTTGTTTTGTAGCCATATGGGGCCATCACTTGATGGTCTGATTCCCTGTGAGTCTTATTTGGAAGAACATAGACATGGCAGGTTATGAAGAGGCAGTCAAATCCAGGGTAGTTTAAGCAGGATAGTTAGCCTGGCTCTTGGAATTTAGGATCCAGGGTGGTTAGGCAGGTGCTACTTTGTGTCTTCTTGCTTCTGCAACATCCCATCCCCCCTTCCATCACCTTTTCTGCAGCATGTTAATAAAAATAAGCCTTTGGGTTTATCTAGTTAGAAGTTTCCTTGGTCTGCTGTTTGCATATGGTGGTGGCAGTAGTGGCAGAAACCCAAGCTTCCCAAGCCTGCCTATAAAAAACGTGCTCTTTATGCCCTGAGGTGGAGACTTGCAATACCCAGTGCTGCCCCTTCCAGATGAGGCGGGGATGCCAGGTCCCACCACAGAACTGTAGAATCTGCTTCCTTTCATCATTGCTTCTGCTTTTACCTCATTCTCACACTATTCACCAGGACAGGTGCAATCTGGGGATTCTGGTCCTTTTTCCTTTTATTGTAAAAAAAATTTTTTTTCCCCTAGAGAACTACACTTGCAACTTTGTAAGTTTTTTTCTTGAATTTACTTTCCAGGATAACATCGGTAGGAAAAGCTGCACAACAGTAATACTATTTATTTTAGAAAGGAAATAGCCTTTGAGTCAGACTTGAAACACAGGCTACAATTTCTTGATGACGGTAATGTACACCGATTCACAACCAAGGTCAGGTCCCCAAAGCTTCAAACTACAAGCACGAATGATTACCAGGAGTGAAGCACTATTAAATTCTCCCACTAAAAAACTGTCAAAAAATCCATCCGCAATCTCCGGGAGGACAGCTCCTCTCCCTCGCCCGGGGAATGCGCCTCCTTTTCCACTAGGAAGACTCGGGGTGTGACTGTACTCCAGGCGCGTTCTTATTTCCTTTGGGGGGGGGGGAAGAGGGGAAAGAAGGGATGTATTTTACATCTTTCATCTTTGCAAGGCTATGCAGTTTACAAAGCGCTAGCACTTCATCCACTCCGAGCTCCGCGAGTGTTCATTCATTCCCTCACTCATTCACTCAACATTTACTGGGTGCGACGACACTTTACCCCGCGCTGGGTCTCGCCCCGCAGCACGGGAAGGGTGGGGCGCTCGCTCCCTGGAACAGGTGCGGCGAGCGGACCCGGCTGTAGGACAACTTCTCGCTCAGTACAGCTTTTCAAAGGCCTGTCTGGGGCCAAATGCCTCACCTTCAGGTGGTGCGCGCCCGAGCATGGCCGCGCGGCCCGGGCCTCCTCCTTGCTCCCAAAGGAGCAGTCACCACCTGCCTGAAGGAAACCACTAATGGGCAAAGCCCTCTCCGCCGCCCTCGGGTCGTGGGTAAGACGAGGCGGCAGCTTAGGCTCCACTCGGCTCCTCCCCTTCCTCTCTTCAGTTCTGACGCGGCCGCAGAGGCGGCGGAGGCGGCGGCGGCGGCGAGTCCCGCGGCCCTAGGCGCACCCACCCGCTCGCCGAGCCGCGACTTCCTCTTCCTTTGGGGCGTCATCAGAGCGCGCCAGAGTCGCCCAGGGCGGGGTGGTTGGAAAGGGGAGAAAAAGGCCAGCAGAGGAAGCCTCGGAGCGGAAAGCGCAGGGAGGGGGGAGGAGAGCGGTTGCTAGGTGACTTGCGTCATCGCTCCGCGACGCTTTCCTCCCGCCCCTCTCTCTGGAGTGAGGCGAGAGCCCCGCACAGAGCGAGCGAGACAGCGAGCTGAGCTCCGGGCGCTGCCGCCGCTGCCGCCGCTGCCGCCGGGAGCGTGAGAGACTGGGAGCATCCGAAAGACCCCGCCCCCGTGCACTGGCTGCCGCCACGACCTCCGCCCTAACCTGGGCCAGCGGGAGCCGCGGCCACCGCTTTTCTCCCCCCCTCACCTTCCCGGCCGGCAGCAGCGGCTGCACACGCCGGAGCCGGAGCCCGAGCCGGAGCCGGCGGCAGGGGGGCAGGGAGGCGGCTACCTCGGGCCGGGGCTAGTCAGCAGCTCCGCGGTGAGAGGACGCCGAGGAGGGGCCGGAGCTTCTATCTGGCCCCGGGGCGCGGGCGAGGGACCCCCAAGGTGTAGGGAGGGGGTCCCAGCCGCAGCGACACATGCAGGAGCCGGGAGCGGGGGCGGCGCCTTGCGGAGCCGGCCGGGTCCCCCACCTCGCGGCCGCCTCGGCCACCCGCCCGGGGCCTTAGCATCTCGCCCCGGAGTGTATGATCCGGGGTCCCAAGCTCAGCAGTCACCCCCGGCCGGGGGGCGGGGACCCCGATGTGAAGCGGCGGCCCGGGCGGCGGGGAGAGCAGGACCGGCGCCGCTGCCCCTTCCTTACCTTCCCCCTGCCCTTAGCCCCCTCGGGGGTCTTTTCCCTCGGCCAGTCGCCGGCCCCCCGGCTCCTCGGCTGGACTCCGGGAGGAGTTCTTAGAGCCCCCTCCCCCGCCCCAGCCCCGAGGGCGGCGGGGCCGGGGGGACTCGGGGGGCCGGCCGCTGCCTCCGCCCAGAGGAAACTTTATAAAAACAAAACCCGGAGCCTCCGGAACGAGACTGTCCCGGTAGAAGTGGCCTAGGACGGGCAGGAGACAGCCTGAAGAGACCCAGGAAGAGGAGAAGAGGAGATAAGCGGGCCGAAGCCGCCTCTGCTCCGGCGGCGCGGAAGAGACCCGGGGGGCCGCCGGGTTGAGCGACACGAGCGCCGCTGCCCTGCGACGCGCGGTCGGAGCCTCGCAGCTGCAGCCTCAGCCCGGAGCAGGAAGGGAACCAGCCCACTTTCTCCGCGCCACGGCTCTTCTCTGAGTGTGAGTGGCCCGGGGAAAGGGATGGAGGGGTCGGGAGTGGGAAGATGCCGGTGCGACCTCCTGGAGTTGGGTGATGTTTTCCGGGAGTGTTGGGAGTGAGCGCATGGATGAGAGGAGGGAGGTACCTTTATTCCTCCCGGCGGGAGAAGGTGTTAGGTAGTTCTGTGCTTTAAGCTTTCAGCTCTTTACGTGGAATACGCAAGCTTCCAGGCTTCTCTTAGAGGAGTTCTGTCTTTCTCCAGAGTGGACGCTTGCACCTTTCTGGACAGTAATTGACCAGAGGAAATTGAGGAAGCCGGAGCGTTTGTGCATACAAAGGACATCTCTGTAATATACCTTTTCCTGGTACACCAGGTGTGAAAAACTGCGGTGTAGTTTTTGTTTCTGGTGCGACTCTTATTTGGGTTCTCAAGTGGGAACCTCTTACCCTGTGGATCCTTGAAAGTAACCCCCCCCCCCTTCCTGGAAGAGATTTTCATTTGAGTACCTCTCGGTGCAGGAGGAGTTTTTACCTTCTCATTTTCTGGGTCCAATTCCTGTGTATCAGGAGGACACTAACATTTCAATTACTCAGGAAATTCTGAGTTTTTATGAATCACAAGTTAACTGGGGGAGAGCATTCAGTACTTTTCTTTAACCAGTTTATAGACGTTGTTATTCTTCACCCAAATGTTTTTTTGGGGGGAAGTAGCGTGTGTCTTAATTGCCAGCCCCTTTTTATTTCGCAGAGTGACTCGAGAGGCTTTGCTTATTTGAGTTTCTTCACTTCTCTATCTAATGAGAAACTTGATATTTAATATTTTGCAGGATGATTTTTTTCCTTCCATTATTTTAGAGGTGAAGCCTTTAAAATCTTTGATTTGTATTTTAGGTATCCTCTGAGAGTGCCAAATTAAGGTGCAGGAAAGTAATTTGTACAGACCTTAAGGCTTCAGCGTAGGGTGGAATTTTATATGACAACATAAGGGAGTACTATACCAAGAATTATGGTCCCTCCAGACAGCTGTGTGGTCTTACTCTCTCTGAAGCCACTGCTGAGAGAAGCTTTGTGGGAATGGATATGTCTGAGGTTATCTGTGGTAACTTCTCCATTCAGGATCTTGGTTAAATTTATTTAAAACTTTCACAAACAATGTTTCCATCCCATACTTTTTGCCTTTTGAAGTAATGAGTTGCAGTTTGTTAGCTCCTGAATTATGTATCAATTCATTCATTTATTCCAAACCTGTCTCTTTAATGTTCTAGGACACCTGCAGAGTTTGTGTTTTGAGAAATGCTATAATAAGCTGGAGTTCTTTTTCTGGTTTTACAGATTTTGATTGTTTCTCTTTACCATTTTTCCTGACTCTTTGTATGTCTTAGACTAATTTCTTTAATTGCTTTGATCACTTTGCTCACCTCTGGAATGTCTCCACCCGTTTTGTTTTTCTTTATATGCCTTGTTCTTGTTATGCTTTTTAAAGGAACTTTAAATTCCATCTATTTTAAATGGGTACTGACATGAAAATATTGAGTAGTGGATGTAATGTTAGATGCGAAATCAGAAATAACTGTCTCTGGTTCTGTTATCTTATTTTGTGACCTTGAGGAATTCATGTATCCCGTGTTTTACAGAAATAGGAGGAAGAGAAGTCTAGTTTTTCATAGCTGTTTTTGGGGGGAGGAAGGAAGGACAAACCAACAAACTGTAGCTTAAGTGTAGATTGTACTCCATCAAAGTTGTTTACTTACTTTAAAACTTACTTTTTATTGCTTTGACTATGGTGATGTTTTATTGCATATTTGGGTATCAAAGAAACAACAAAGTATTTGGGATCCCTGCCTTTGAGATGCTTTTACTTGCGGGTGGCAAAGGCAATGAATTACAAATTGCACAAAATAGTAGGACAGTGAGAATGGACCACTGTTTATCTTCTGCCACCAGATGTCAGATACTGTGTTTGGTACCTTGTAGATCCAAGTGTATTTGCACATTTTTCATTAGGGAAATGATGGTGTTGAACTATGCAGGACTAACTGGAATGTCCGAACCAAATCTGGGAAGTCTTTTTTTGGGAAGAAAAGTGTTTAAGACTTTTGGAATTGGAGGGTGTGAGGGATCAATGTAATTAGGAAGTTAGCTTGATGGGAATACAGTAGGAAGTTGTTGAATAGGCTTAGAGTCAGTCCCTGTTTGTCTAGATACATGTTTACACATCCAAGAAGCAATTGAGAACAATGTTCCTGAGACAGTAGTTTCAGATGATTGAGGAGAAACTGTATTTTAGGCCAAGAGGCATTATACCTTTTTCTAGGTAACCAACATTTTTGTATACTATGATCCCTGAAGAGCTGTAAAGATAGAGGAGTGAAAAAGAAGGCCTTCCAGTGTTGTGGTATGGTGCTAGTGGTTTCTTGTAAAAAATAATTCAGAAATGAGGCATTGTTTTGGACCTTAAATTTTAGGGTAAACGTTGGATACAGATGCAAACTCAAGACAATAAAATAGTTAAATTAGTGCTGAAAATGTAGAGCTGGGAGTCATTTTCAAAGTATTAAGGTTTCTTGAGAGTGCTGATATAGAATGAAAAATGGGTATTTTTACTTGAGGTCAGGGGGAGGAAAATCTGTTAAAGTTAGCAAAGATATAGTAAGAACAGAGAATGGATGACCTTTCCCTAAAATAAATGTTTTACAACTGGATGAGAGTTGAAGTTGAAAAGAGAGGAACAGCCTTAAAACATGGCATCCGTTCAGTCTTAGGGCATATGATTCTATATTTTTGAAATAGCTATGTAGAGTATATAGGTCCCCTGAGGTTAAGTTTGGAAGAATATATAGGATTTTACTGTTAAGGAACTTTTACATAAGAGGACAGATTTCTTTCACCATATTCGTGTTTTTAAAGTTTGCCCAGAGTTATTATCCTAAGTTTGGTCTTTAACATGACGAAGTGGGGCTAAAAATAGCTGGCAGAGATGGCTGCTTCCCTTGCTTGCAGTTGGTGTGTGTCTTTGTGTCCTGTACAATGGAGGGGAATATCCCTGTGTTGGCACACAAGTCCTGAAAATTCTTATTTGAAAAAACCCTTTTATTAAAAAAGAAACACAAAGCAACTTGGCACTTAAAAAAATGCAGACATCTTTGAGGTATGAGACACTGGAATTTTTTTTTTCTTGTGAAACCTGCAGCTAGTGTGGCTCTAGCATTTAGTGTTGACTCTGTCAAGGATTAAGGATTGTGAGGGAGGGAATACATATATTCCCTCTTTTGCGATGCTTAGTTTGAATTCTCCACCTTCCTAGTAGCTTCTTTGGCCTTCTTCTAACGAGTGATCATTGCCCAGCTGGGGGTGGCTCAGCGGTTGAGCTTCGACCTAGGATCCAGGTGATCGAGCTTCAACTCCTGGTTAGGGCGCATGCTTGGGTTGCAGGCTCGATTGCCAATGGGGACCGTGCAGGAGGCGGCCGATCAATGACTCTCATCATTGATGTTTCTGTCTCTCTCTCTCCCTCTCCTTTCCTCTCTCTGAAATCAATAAAGATATATTTAAAAAAAAATAGTAAAGAGTGATCATTGAAATGGCAGAACCCTCTGGGGAAGAGAGGTTTAGACAAGAAGCTTAAATCTGGGATGATTCCAGGATGAGAGTACAGGGACAAGCATATGCCATATGGATGCCTGCTCTCTTGACCCCTACTTTCCACTTATGCAGATGAAACCGTGTTGTGATGAACTTAAAGGGCAGCTTTTTTAGGTTAATATGGTTTACTAGTAAAGACAGTGGGAAAGGTGTGACTCTGGTTGTCGGGAGTCCTCACCCCATGTGCTTTGCTTCAGCAGCTTTGGGATTGGTATGGGAACAGTGAAGAGCCTTGTGGGTGTTCATTGTGTGATTTAGCACCAGATAACTGACTGCAAAGCCCACACTTAGGCTAGCAGCAGCCCAATTCATGTATTTTGGAGATGGTTCTTGGAAAAGTCTTCTGTTTCCTCTGCTATCTCATTGTGTAGAGGAGGGGTTGACTAACTTCTCTTTATAAAGGGTCAGTAAATATTTTAGATTTTATGGACCACATAGTCTCTGTCTCAGTGATTCAGTTCTGTTCTTGAAGCGTGAAAGCAGCCATAGACAATATGTAAGTGAATGAGTGTAACTGTTCATTATACATAAAAAACCTTATACATAAAAACAGGAGGTAGGTTGGGTTTGGCATGCAGTTTATGGACCCTTGGTATAGACATCTGCCAAATCTACCAACAATACAGTATGAGCTTCATCTGTTGCAGATCTGGATTGGCTATTTTAGGTGGTCTGTTTTCTAAATGTGTTCTAGATGTGTTCCTTGGGAGTTGTCTTAATATGATTCTGCATAAAGCGTAGAGTCTACTGTACAAGATAGTGGTGAAAACTGTGGATTAAGGAGCAGTGGCAGTGCCATCTCTAAACGGATGCAGCAAAAAGTGGGGACTACTTTTGTTTCTTATCTGTAGATGACCATAGTTGGCATATCCTGGCTATGTGTTGTGGCCACAAGATTAAGGAAATTATGGATTATAAATTATGATTTATAATTTATTGTGAAAATAAATTATAAATCATTTTCTTTAGATATAAAATTAGAAGTGTTTATGGTTGACTTGAATCATATGAAAGTATTAGCCAAATTATAAGAATATTACGACTTGATACTTGTCTCATAAAGTCTTAATCTCTTCTAGTTACCAATTCAGTGTGTACAATTATTGGCTCCACAATTTTTGTTTTGTTAATTTCAAGTATTAAATCTTAAAAAATCACTTAAATCATTTAAAAGTATACTTTAAAAAGCTTTGCTGTATTTTTAACAGTAAATGCCCCATGGTCTAATTTCTTGAGTCTGTCTCCAGTGTGTTGTTTAGAAAGGATAATTCATCCTGTGTAGTTTTACATTGTAGCTAATATGAAAACATTTGTTTCATATGTCAACAAATACCTGCATTTGATAATGGTATGTTTTTGCCCTGGTTTCATAAATCTT